AGAGAAGACGAAAAGGTCATAATCTCAGTCGGTGCCACGTCCTGCTTGCTTTAATTGACGGAGATGCCACTCCATGCTGTGCGCCGCAACGGCAGCCGGCACGAGTATGAACGCCCCTACGTAGTGGATTACGGCTGTGACGGCAAACGTGTACTGGTAGCCTTTGGCCTCGGCGATGTACCCGCCAATCACCGCACTCCCCGCCCATGTGAGGGAGGAGAAGCTCTCAAAGGCGGACCACTTGGCGCGGCTGGACTTTGAGACGCAGTCCATGATGACGCTGCGGGTGACGCCCATGGTGGAGTTCATGGCCGCGTTACGCGCAATGAAGAAGACGAGGACGACGGCCAGCGGCGTCCCACTGCCAACCGCAGTGGCCAGCAGGAAGAGGAAGGTGGTGCCGATCAGCCGCACTGTAATGACGGCGGGTAGTCGCCCCACAAAGTGCTCGCCCACGTAGCGCAGCGCCGTGGAACACAGCGCGGTGCTGCATGAGATGGTGATGTACGACGCCATCAGCCACGTGGGGGTGACGCCGAAGTCGTTGACGAGAAAGAGCGTCAGGTACTGCACCGTCATGCCAGCGCCAACCGACATCCAGAACTCCGTGAAACACACCAAATACGGCAACGCCATTAAAACCCAAATCCTACGGCGTGAGAGGTGAACGCCGCCAAGGCGAGCCTCATCCACGGCGTCGTTGTCGCAGCCGTCCTTGAAGCCGGAAACGTCTCTCTCCCGCTCCCGTCCCTGCTCCTCCGCCTCGCGTGAGGGCCCAGATTGATTGGCCGCGGGCGGCCCTGCATGGTGGCCGCTCCCGCCTTGACCACTTAGGGCGGATTCCGAATCCGCCGTACTTGCTTTTGCTTCGCTAAGTAGCGGTGATTCCTGCGTGACGGCCAATGCCTTCACTTGCCTGTTGCTACTCTTCTGTTTCCCTTCCCCTTCCCGCCACCGTTGCTTCTGCGCCTTCACGATAAAGTACATGCCGCCCTCGTCTTGGGCCGGGGCGGCCTCGTCCCGCAGCTGGAGGAGAACGACGTGCGCCAGGGGGTGTGCCGCGAGTCCAATCGTCATGACAAGCTGGATGCTTTGTACCGACCAGTCATTTCCCATGCACAGCAGCATCACCAGCGCCACGGCGTAGCCGACGCAGTAGCACAGCGTCTGCACCATCCACTTAAAGTTGTAGATGAACGCCCGACGCCCGGAGGGGACGCTGTCGGCGAAGAGCGCCTCCGTGCTCGTGGACGCCACACCCATGTACACGCCCCAGAGGGCCTGCGTGATGTAGATGGCGGGCATGGTCAGAAGACGCACCGCCACCAGCGTTGCGGCGACCGCCAAAATGCCGCAACAAAACGCGGTCCGAATGCTTTCGGCGCGCGGGAGTTTGTCGCCCACGTAGCCCGCCACTGTGGCGCCCCCAATCTGCGCTATCCCGCTCGCGGCGGCGGACCACCCGACGGCCCGGTCCCCGCCGAGCCTGTTGACAAGCACGGGGAGGAGCTGCGCGCTCCACACGCTGAAGCAGGCGCCGTCGAGGAAGCAGTAGAGAATAATAAGCGTGACGTTGCGGTTCCGAAAGTCCCCGCCGAGAGCCGGCTGGCCGTCCATGTTTTTTTTCTTTTTTGCTTCCTTTTGCTTCTGCGGGCGGGCGCGGTGCTCGACGTCCTGCGCGGCAAAGTCGTGGGGGAGGCGGAGAGGCACGCGGCGCGGGCAACGGCGGCGGCAGCCCCCTTTGGGGGAGAAAACAGACGCCCGGGGGAGCGATGAACGCAAAGAAACAGAAAATAAAACAAAACAAAAAGAGAACGCAAGCAAAAAAAAAGAATAGGCTGAGAAGTCTAAAAAAGAAAAAGAAAACAACAACAACCCCAAGAAAGAACAAACAAGCAAACAAAAAGAACACTCCCACATTAAAACAAGAAGTTGCCCCTCGCGACGCTGCGGAAGCGCGACGGATGTGCCTAGTGGAAGCAAGGGATAAGTCTGAGGTGCGGCTCAGTGGGAGGGGGACAGAAAAGAAGAGGAAGAAAAAGAAAACAATAAAGGAGAGATACAAAAAGAAAAAGCCGCTTTTAATTTGCTGGCCCCTCGCAGTCTCACCTTATTTACCGTTTCAGAAGCTTCCCCCCTTCCCACCCACCCCTCCCACGTCCCCACAATTTTTACTTTTCCCAGTAATTCCCATACCCCACCTCGCTGCAGAGTTTGGCTGCGTACTCGGCGAGCGTCTCGTTCGCCGCCGCGATGATCGTCGTGCCGCCCTCCAGCCCAAACTCACCACCTCTGATGTTCTTTACAACACCGCCGGCTTCTGTCACCAAAAGACTTCCGGCGCACACATCCCACACCATGCCCGCGGGCTCCATGTAGAGATCCACGCGCCCTGCTGCAACCTGCGCGAGAATAAGGGCACAGGCACCATAGCTGCGAAGGCCCTGCACGGGAAGCATGGCAAGCTCCTTGCGAATATGCCCCGCAGCCTCAAGGATTTTCTGGTGCTTTTCCCGCTTGATGGATTCCCATTGAGACTTGCTCTTCGACATCTCCTCCTCGGAAAGTCTGACGCGCGTGGGGCAATTAAACGTCACCAGAGCCGTCGTGGGCACGACGTCCGCGGCGACGCGGATGGCTTGTCCGTTGAGAAATGCCCCTTTTCCACGGATGGCGGTGTACAATTCCCCCACCGGGACGGCGGTGGGGCTTGAGTCATCCATCGAATTCTGCGGGCTCCCAAGAAAGGGGCAGTACACAACCGCGAGCACCGTCTGCTTCTTAATGGCGAGCCCGATGCTGACGCAGCAGTCGCAGCCGCCGTGGACGAACGACATGGTGCCGTCGATTGGGTCGACAATCCACGTCGGGTCGTCGGTCAGGGGGGCGTCGGGGCTGGCCTCCTCCGTTATGAATCGGAATTGAAACGACGCAAATCCCGCCTTTTGCTTTTCATTCTCCACCTTTGCATCGTGGCGCTGCAGGATTTTAATGATCGTCTCGTCGCAGAGGGTGTCGTAGTGCGTCACAAGGTCGTTGGCGGAGGACTTCGTCTGGATCTGGAGCAGCTCCAGCGGGCTCGGCTTCGGCGGGGCGGCGGCGGCGGCGGCGGATGGGGCCTGGCAGCCGCCCTCCCGCGTCGCCCGCGCCGCGGCGTGCTCCCGGCGAAGTTGGTAGAACTCCCACATGATGTCGCCGGCACTCCGCGCCGCCTTGATGGCCACCCCAAGCGCCTTTTCCAGGTCGACGTACCCCTCCATTTCCCTGCCGCCTCGTGCCCCAGGCAGCGGCGGTGGCGACGGCAAAAATCAAAAATAAGAAGAAGAAGAAAAACAACAAAGAAACAAAAACACGCAAACCAACGGCCTAACCCAAGTGCAGGTGACTTAAAACCAAAAAGAAAAAAAATTAATGAAGTCGCTTGAGACTGTGGCGGGAGAGAGACGAAAAGCGAGAGGGAAAGGGGGAAAAAAAACGAGCGAGAATGAGAAAGAGACTCCCCACAAGCGGGGGAGGGCAAAGCACGAGGCGAAGGACTGGCGGCAGTGCGACGACACACGCAGGAAGCTGCCGCCACCGCCGCCAGGTGGGCGGCGTCCTCCTCCTCGTTCGGCGCCAACCCGACTGATGAGGCAAACAACAAACAGAGAGACAGAGACTCCCCTCGCCCCAGAAAAAAAAAGTAAAAACAAACAACAACAAGAAAACAACGAAAAAAAAAGAGAGAAAGAGAGAGCCACGCAGAAAAGAGAAGCACACACGCCGTCACGCCTACATCCACCCATCGCAGGGGAGGAGGAAAAAAATGAGAGGGTATAATAATAAGTTAGGGCAGAAAGTGCATACCGTGTCCGTGCCGCTGCACCCATGCACACACACACACACACGCACGGAGACAGGCACAGCCAGAGAAGCGTGTACACCTGCGACGCCCCCGCCATTTTCGTCTATGCATCCCTACTTTTCTTTCCAGCGTTGCTCTTCTTCTTTTTCACATGCAGCCACAGTCTCACGAGGACGCGGTTTTGTAGTGTCGTATGGTGGGCGATAGCACCAACAGGTCCCCGTTTTTCCATCCTCGTCCTCCCGCTTTGGAAGTACGTATTTCATGCATGGTGGTGTAGTCCCCTGCGTGGAAGACAGGCCTATCAACGCGCAGAACCGCCATGTCTCTAACCTGCGGCTTCTTGTCGGCGTCCACAAAGACATGAGAAACACGCACCTTGGCAACCGGCATCCGCTGCGGTCGCCTATTCCCCCGTTGAGCCCCTGCTGCGGACGGCGGGGCCTCCCTTGACGGCTCCTGCGTCTTCTCACCTTCTGTGCGTACGCGTTTAGTGGCCGGCTCCTCACCTGCCACGTCTCCGTTAACGGAGACGCTCCCATCATCAAATTCAACCGACGCACCATCAGCCGCTTCTCCCGCCTCCTCCCTCGGTGCACTGTTATTCTTACAATTATCCTTTTCCTCTCCTCCCTCCGTCTTTTCCGCTTTCTCTTCTCCAGAGGAGAGCGATGGTTTGCTTGCCTCCCCCTCCCCCTCCGCAGCAGGGACGGCGGCGGCATCGCTGGGCAGCAGTACCTCCTTGGCTGCCGCGCTCGAGGACAACACCTCCTCCACAATCTCCCGTAGCGTCGTGTCCTCCCACACGTAGACGTTCATTCTAAAAAACGAAGGAATCACAGCGTCACTCGCGGAGTTTGGCCCGGGCGAGGACACGGACCCATTCTCCGTCGCCGCGCGACTTCCCGCGTCGCTCACAAGCGGCGCTATGGGCTGAAGGAACGCCGTGGGCTCCACCATGTGGGGGTCAACAACCACAATGACGGAGAGGCTGTGCGGCACCACCTTGGGGCTGTGCCGGTTAACCACGTACCGCTGCGGTGGGGAAACCCAAAAGTCGCTGCGATCGCTTCGCTGGCGCCCACGACCCACGTCTTTTCCCAACGCCTTAATCATATTTGCGACCGACGAACCTCCCTGAGCTGCGCCGTTGGCGGCACGAATTTGTATGTATGTGTGTGTGTGTGTGTGAATGCATGCGATGCAGGAAAAGGCGAAGAGGAACACGGGTGTGATCAGCGTGATAAACACACGCAGAAAACCAATGCGCGAGGAGTGGCATAAATCGGCGCGGCGGCACAGGCGAAGGACGCTGCCAGGCCTCGAGATACAAAGAAAGAGGGAAGGGAGGAACAAAAAAATGGACGTGAGGCAAAAAAAAAACCCACACATAGCCCGCGACCCGCACACAGACGAAAGCAAGGAGCACAGTCCACCTTGTTGCTGGCCGTTGCGCAGGAGAATAGCGGGAGCCCCAGTATCCCTTCCCTTTACTTCATATCGCATCTTTTTACACAATCTTTTCCAACTAATACCCGCATACGACCGATGTTTTTCTTTAATTCCCCATCGCGTTTCTTCGTCTTGGCTCGTCCTTCGCGGCGACAAAAGGCAGCGCAGCCCACGCGCGCAAACACTTCCACGGCTTCCAGGCTGCCCCCACCCCACTCGCGCGTATTCACAGTGCACGCCCAGGACAACTTCACGGAGGCGTGCGGGGGACTCTCCCGCCCCAACAGTGGGGCGCAAGAAGCCACCCGCGGCCCACGCGCCGCAGCCTCTCCTTGGGCCCCACACGGCGGGGAAAGGCCATCAGGCACACGGAAAAGTTAAAGGTACCCCCAATAAAAATACGCACTCTAAACCCACCCCCACACACGCACACGTCAGCAGGTAAGCCGCTGAAGGTGAGAAGGTCAGCTCCACAAAAAAAAGCGTGGACAGCGCAGGAGCGCGACGACGGGCAAAACGGACATGAGGGGCGTTTGCGTCCCAGGCGCAGAAGCGGGGCATTGCGAGAACGCAAGCCACGCAAAGAAAACCCTCCGCGTTCCTCCTTCAGCCGTCACCATCACCCAAACCGAAAAAAAGTCACTGGGAACACGCGACATTAATCAAACAAGCACACCTGGGGAGTAAAAAAGGAGGCAGCTAGGAAACACACACATACCCGCAAAAGGGCTCAAATAAATTCCAGAGGGGAGACAAACAAAACAAAAATTCCTACTCACGTATTCGCTTCGCCCTCAACGCGGCGAGTGCCACGTTGCAGCTACACACCCCTGTTCGCTTTGGGCGCGGCGGTGTTGAGGCGGGTCAACTCCACAGCGTCATTCGCAGGATGCGAGGGGCCGCCCTCGTCGAGGTGCGACGCCTCAGTGTATGCGGCGGAGGGCGTCGGAATCTCGTCCATCGGCGTCACGTCGGAGTCCGACAGCTCGTCGTTGCTCCGTGCGGAGGCGATCGCACGGGGCGACGCCACACGGGAGTCAAGATTCTTTACGAAGGCCAACCTCCCCCGGCGCCTCGCGCCATGGATGTAAAGCGAGATGGACCCGATCGCGGCGAGGCCCAATTGGTACACGATCAGCGCCACAACCGATTGCCAAGGGTGCCAGTGCTCGAAGCCAAACTGTTCAATGACGGCCTCGCCGTTGGGGTAAGCGCAGTGCGGCGTGACGGGGTCACGAGATGACGTCCAGCCGCC